CAGTCAGGGATTCTCTCCACTTTCTTCCAGCTCCAGCATTTTATTTTCTAAGAAGTGAGAGGAGTGGCTTAAATTACACAGATGATTAACTCCATCACAGATTAGGGCTAGAAGTAATGATAATAATAGTAGTTCTTATCATTGTTAGCTGCCTTCTAGTTTTCCCCCAGCTCTTGACAACCCCACATACAACATTGAGAAGACAGATTAAAACAATTTGAGCCAAAATCTAGCGCCCAAGAGGGAAGCCATTTGCTCCCCATAATCTAATGGAACTTTGGGGGTTGGATAGCTGACATGGTTTTTGATAGAGAAATCCTTTCCCTTAGGAGAAAGCAGAGGATAGTGAAGCTGAATTAAATGGTTTTGGAGAGGGGATGTCATTCCTAGCATTATTATCTAACGCTGGTCTGTGGAAAACACAGAACTTGCTCCAATTCTAGTTCCCCAGACATAACTTCTACCCTGTAGAGCCCTTTCCTACTGGAAGCATGTGTCATTTCCAGCCATCCTTGATAAGGGTTGCAGCACAGTCAGCTGTAAGTGCTGCAGGGCTGGGAGTGATTACTGCTAACCACAATGTTGTACTGCTTCTCATATAAGAAGCTTTATGAAATACTGTTTGGTCAGGGAAAATATTTTATATCTGAAGATTTCTATCCTCTTCCAAAGTGTTGGATGCACTTACATCTAACAGTAAGTGACACAAAATGTGTAAGAATTGAGCAGCAAAAAAAGGTGTGGTTATTTGTTTTATATGTTCGATATTTTTGGAATATGAAACCATTGCTCTTCCACTTGTTCAAATTCCAGATTTCATCACTTCTCATGGTGTCCAAGTGCCCACCTTAAGCATAGCCTCCCTTAGCACAATTCTTCTGAATCACCTCGTGCCCAGGTTACATCTTGTCCTTGTACAGCTTTCTGCTCAATGCCAGAAGTATTATTTATCTGCACAGCCTGGGCAAGGAACAAGTGCCAGCCTCTTGTGTTTCCAGAAGAGACTTGCCCCAGGTTAACAACCAAATGAGGGAAAGACCTTGGCACAGCAAAAACAATGCTAGGAATTGGGTGTCTGAGTCACTGTTCAATCTTCCCATCTCTGCTCTTTAGATTCTCCTGTGACCACACAGGCTGTTTTCTTCCAGTCTATTGATGCTACAAATAGGGCTTCCTGCCTGGCAGAGTTCCCCTTAAGATGCGGAAGACAAGATCCTGGATGGAAGGACTCAGGATTACAGTCATCCCTGACTTCTCCTATCCTTGGTGCTTCTCTAATCTAGTCCCACCGCCTTCGCTATTCCTGGCTTCCTTTATTATTTTTTTTTAAATGCATTTTATTGAAATATAATTTATGTACAGTTAAATACACAAGACTAAAGTGACATGGGTCAATGCTTATTTATTTATTTATTTATTTGCAGTGTTCTCTCCCCTCCCCTCCCACCCCTGGTAACCAACAATGAACGTTTTCTTCCATGTATAAACCTTCCCTTGACTTTTTACAATAATGAACTAATACTATATTTGTCCTTCTGTGACTGACTTGTTTCACTCAGCATAATGTCCTCCAAGTTCATCCATGTTACATGGTGTTTTGCAGATTCTACATTATTCTTTAGTGTTGCATAGTATTCCATTGTGTGTATGTACCGTAGTTTGGTTATCCATTCTTCTGTTGATGGACACCTAGGTTGTTTCCATCTTTCTGCTATTGTAAATAGTGCTGCAATGAACGTGGGTGTGCATGTATCTGTTCTGTCTCTCACTTCTTTAGGATATATACCTTGTTGTTGTTGTTGTT